TCAGCAGGGTTATTGCCAGTGGGTTTCATCACAATCAGCCCCCATCCCTGGAGAAGTTACCACTTGTGCCCCAACACACTGATGGCATCAGGTTCGAGGAGAGCATGTAACGGGTCTGGACAAGGCCAAGATCCACACCAAGAAAAGGGACATTTGGGATATTCAGTTCCTGAAGCTTCACTCTGGGAAGCAGTAACCAGAGGAGCCATGGGGGTCACACTGGCAAAACAAATTCCATTAAACCCATGGGCCACATCCACAGGCTTCATCGCTGCGATGTCAGACATGGGAGTAAGGGTGACCTCGCCTGTGGACATGGCACCACAGAGCACTGGCTGACATGGAAGGGTATCTGAAAGAACCGACAGCAAAGCTCCTTCCTACACCCTGCAAAGACTTGAGGGCTGCCAAACCCTACAGTGAGATACTAGAAGAGCACAAAAGCAGAAGCAGAGGCAAGTAGGGTGAGCTGGCTGGGGCATGAACTGGCTGGGGCACCAAAGCACCTCATCAAGTCAAAACACTCCCTGCTAAAGTGTTCATTAATCCAGCCATGGAGATACAACAGAACCTCCTGGCTGAAGATGCCAAGCTTAGCACACACCTACAGACAAGGAAGTCACCTACCCTGGGCTGAAGCCAGTGGAGGGACAGACAGTCTCCCTTCATCCACAGATGGAGACCAGCTTCCCTGCCTGGAACGGAAGAGGGAGCAGCACAGGGTTAAGCAGAGGACAAGCTGATGGAGTCCAAAGGTTGGGCTGAGTCATGTTGTGGCCGTTCCTGTTTCGGTCTGAGCAAATTTCTCGCTTCCCAGGCAGGGTTTGTTGCCAGGCCAGAATGAACCTGTCCCCTTCATCCCCTCGATGCACTGCCTGGAGGAGTGTCCCTCCCACAGCCAGCATGTACCTCCGTTCTTCACTTCTCCTTTGGACTCCACATGCAGTTTTTAGGGCACCTCCACAGTTTTTAGGAGACAGGATGAGCCCAATGCCATATCCCCCATCACCACGTCCCCCATTGTACCCCCTCTGTCCTCCACCCTGTCCCAGGCATCTGCCCAGCCTCAGGCTCTTCCTCAAGAAACAAAACTGTCTTCCCACCCCTTGCCATGCAGACACCTTTCTTCTCCTCGCCCACGGCTTTCCCGACCCAAAGGAAGCCATCCAGCTGCCCCCAGGAGGCTGATGAAACACAGTCAATGATTCCTAAGTGCAAATGCAACACATGTTCCTGCAGATCCAGACATCAAATCCCTTCTCAAAACAAGGATCAGCCCTCCAAGCTGAGCACTCACTGAGGTGGTTGTGCCTGAATATAAACAAGTAAAATGGTAGAACCTTCCTCACAGGGTATCAGCATGGAGATGACAGAATGGTTTGGGTTGGAAGGGACGTTAAAGATCATCCTGTTCCATCCCCTGCTGTGGGCAGGGACACCTTCCACTAGACCAGGTTGCTCCAAGCCCCATCCAACCTGGCCTTCCAACACTTACAGGGATGGGGCAGCCACAGCTGCTCTGGACAACCTGCGCCAGGGCCTCACCACCTTCACAGCCAAGAATTTCTTCCCAATGTCCCATCTAACCCTGCCCTCTGGCAGTGGGAAGCCATTCCCCCTTCACCTGTCCCTCCATGTCCTTGTCCAAATTCCCTCTCCAGCTCTCTTGGAGCCCCTTTAGACACTGGAAGGGGCTCTAAGGTCTCCCTGGAGCTTCTCCAGGCTCAACACCCCCAGCTCTCCCAGCCTGGTTCCACAGCAGAGGGGCTCCAGCCCTTGGAGCAGCTCCGTGGCCTACTTTGGACTCACTCCAGCAGCTCCACATCCTTCTTATGCTGGTGCCCCAGAGCTGGAGGCAGCTCTGCAGGTGGGGTCTCACCTGAGTAGGGCAGAGGGGCAGAATCCTCCCGCCTCTGCTGCCCACACTGTGGGACCAGCCCAGCAGACAGGGAGTTTCTGGGTGCCAGCTCACAAGGCTGGGGCATGTCCAGCTCCTCCTCCACCAACACCCCACCTCCATTTTACCCCTCCAGCTGCAGAGGATTTCTGCAGCTGCATTAGTGAAAGAAATAAATCTTTGATAGTAACAGCACAGCAAGTCATGCAGGGTACGACCCAAGGTCCAGCCAGCTCCAGTGCTGCCTGTGACAGCGGCCAACACAAATGGCTATGATGGAATGTAACAGCCAAGCACGTTGAAATACTTCCCAAACCACTTCCCAAGCTCCTGTCCTCCTCGTGCTTTTCCCAAGCAAAAAAGACATTGTTCTGTACAAACCCTGATGGGCTTCTCCTCCACAAACCCACCAAGTGCCCCAGAGCACTGGCGGACTTTCACCATCCATAGTTTTTAGTAGCAACATTCCAGTCCATCATATAGAACAGCATCTGCTGCTCTTCCTGGTTTCATTCACTCTGGTTCCACTGCCAGAACAGACAAGGGAACAACACATCATCTCCACACCACTCCTGAATTTTACAGGCTTTAGTCACCTGCCCCAGGGTCTTCCTCTCAAGTGGATATAGCCCCAAGCCATTTAGCAGCCCTTGTCCCAGAGACATCCCATGGCTAACCATCTCCACCACTCTTCTCTCTATACATGCTCCCCAACAAAACCCTAGCCTCAGAACCTCTCCCAACTCCACTGTGCCCTCCCCACCTATCCTGGTGCCTACACTGTGATCCCCACACTAAAGCAGCTGGGGAGCTGCCAGCTGCAGACACAGCAATGTGCACCCCAATGCTGCTCAGCCACTCTACCAACCCCAGCAAATGTTGATGGCAACAGGGCCGAGCCATCCCAAACACACATGCTTGTGATGCTCACCCCATGTGCGGCAAACATGTGGCTCCACAGGCACACACCGGAGACACCCGTGTGCAGCTGGCACAAAGGAGAGCACAGACCTCCACATGCTCAAAGTTTTCCCCATTTACCCACAGAACTCCAAAATCTTCCCCATTTACCCATCAGCCACTGTGATTACTGAGAAACAAGAAAAGAGTCCCAAAATGGCCATGTCCAGCCATGCAGCCACCCAGAGCCCAGCACCACCTGGACAGATAGCCACTCACCCTGTAGGTCGTGTGCCACTGGTGGGGCTTTTTGTGCCCTTGGTGACCTGGAAGAGCAGCTTGGCCAGCTCTGCATCACTGCCGCATGTCAGCAGAGGAGCAACACAACAAACATCACCCACAGCCCTGGCTGGCCCCAGGCTGGATCATCACCACCCATGGGACAGAGCCCACGTACCATCGGCAGCTCCAGGAACGAGGCGGTGACTCCTGTCAGCCCTGCTCCTTGTGCTCACCCACGAGCCCATGCAGATCCCACGCTCACTGACACATTAAGGGATCCTTCTCTGCACATGATGCAACCAGAGAGAAATAAATTCCTCCAGGGGCTGCAGGGAGCCTTGCCACTCAAGGGGAAGTCAGCGGGACACAGAGCACAGTGGCCCACAGAAGCCATGTGTCCCGTTGGGAGCTGGAGCTCAGCACCAGGACATCACCTTGACTGCAGAGTGACAGAGGCCAGAGAGGCCTGGACCCACTGGCACAGCCACAGCACCAAAGAAACCAAATCCCAGAGGGCACAGCAGGATGGTACCCGGAGCACAGTGGTTGCAGGTGATTTGCTGACACACAGTTCCCAGCAGCCAGGCACAGCTTGACAGTGCCATTCCATCGCCACGTCCAGACACCGGCACATCACATGGCCAAACCACCTTCACACCAGAACCAGCAGGCACCAGCCATCACCAGTGTTGGTCCCAGCAGTACCAGACACATGGTCCCATTCCCTTGCCACCCACAGCAGGACATCCTGGTACAGGAGCAGCAATGTCACCCACACCCTGACACCTTTCTTACCTTCTCCGATTTCACCTTCTTCAGCTGCCGGCACTCACTTTCCCCATCCTCCAGCTCCGACTTAACTCCCAAGGGATTGAGCGCAGCTCCCGTGTCAATAGCTATACTCCCAAGCTGCTCGGCAGCAGCAGGCTCTGTCCCCTGGCCCCCATCATACTGTCCCACCCTCACTGCCAGGGCCAGGGGCTGCAGCACGCTGGACTCCTTCTCCACCGCAGCCCCTGCACCCTCACTCCTTTCCTTCTTGCTTTTGGATGAGCCACCCTCCTTCTCTTTCTTGGAGCCGGCCACGCTGCGAGACGCCTTGGCCGACTTCTCCGAGCCCTTCGGGGTGACGGCAGGCACCAAACCACCTGAGTTCGCGCCATCCCCAGAGCGTCCTTGAGCCTCCTTCTTGCCACCAGCTCCCTCACTGGGAGTGAACAGGGAGGACCCCGGGGTCGGCTTCCCACTGTCCTTGCCAGTCTTGCTCCTTTTTGACTTGGATTTGCCCTCCTTGCCCTGAGGGCCCGGCACTGGGCTCACAAACTTGATGTTATCCGGTAGCGTCGCCACTGCGTTGGGTGCCGGGAGCCCCACCTCCTTGGAGCCCGACATTTCCAATTTCTGCTGATCCTTCTCCAAATCAGCGTCCAGGTCAATGATGAGATTCCCTACACCAATGTCCCACTCATCCCCGCTGTCGTACGTCTCAACCGGGTTCGCATCAATTCCTTTCCCTCCGGAAGCTCCGCTGCTCAAGGACATCTTAGAGTTAACAACCCCTCACGATTCAAGGCTCTTCCCTGTCTCCACGCCCTGGGGGTCACCTACGTCCTTGGGGGGCTTCCAGTGGTCGGGGTCTGCCCAGGTGACGGCATCGCTGCTGGAAGGGAAGGCAAAGAAAACAAGGTTACACACGAAGAGCCACAGGCAGGCAGATCTGCCTTCATTGGCAGTTGCACCTGCAGCCAGGAGAGATCCGGGCAGGGTGAAACCCCCAACCTCCCAAATCTCCCCTCGCAGAATCCTCCTGCCATCCCCCAGGCTGGGGCTGCTCGGCAGCTGCCCCCACAGCAGCAGCCATCTGGCACCGGTCCTCGATCAATACCAGCCCTGGCAGGTCGCGGCTCTCGGCTCCAACAAGACATTACTCACACGTTTCCCCACTCGCCATTTCCCTCTGAATTATCGAGCGCTGCCCCTGGGAGGGAGAATTGATTCCTCTCCTGCTGATGCCACCCGGAGGGAGGGCTCCTCTCCACACCAGCCTTGCTGTGAGGGACGAGAGCCGCTCGCCAGGGAAGTAGAGTGCCTCAGTGGGAAATAAATCCCAGGCTTCAGAGTGCTTGTGACACTTGGGAGGCATCAGAGCGGTCGACAAAGGCCAAATCGCAGTGGGAAGCACAGGGTTCCCATCCCACACCTCCGGGCAGCACAACACAGCACCCGGATTTGGGATGTTTACCACCATCACCTCCAGAATAAGCTTCCAATGGGAAACCAAGACACAATTGTACAAGTACCCAGTGTTAACTGGGAAGTGGGGGCTCAGCCCTACCTGCCCATGCCACAGCTGACCCCTGTGAGCCCAAAATATCTCCTCCCAGCTTCCCAGCCCCTCACCCCCAGAGGGAAACAAAAAAAGACACCCACGCGCAACCTGACACAGCTACAGAGTTGTGGCAATTACCCGACGAGACATAATTAACACATGTAACAGCTTCTTCCCAGCACCATCCAGCCGGGCCGCCTGCGCTCCAGAACCCTTAAGAAATCCTTGACCACCCATTTGGATGAGGCTCCTCTCCAGGAGCACTGTCCTCCCCTTCCCCACCAAGCTCCGAGCCTGCTGGTTCCTGGTACTATTTACAAGCAACACTTCAAAAACAGGTGACTTGAAGAGAAATGAGAAGGGAAGGGGAAAAAAAAACACACACACACACAAATTTCTTCAAACCCCAGCAGGCAGGAGCCTGGAAAGCAGCTTCACGGTGCGTTTCCAGAGATGCAAACACTGTAAAAATGCCAGGGATTCTTTCATCAGCCAGGCTGCCGCAGCCAGACCATTTTCCATCTGCTCCCCACAGCATCCTCGGCTCTGTACAGCTAATAATCCGCTCTCTGACAGGTCATTACGGAGATTTTTAACCCTAGGAGCTGGGGGCTTGCGTGCAAGCTGGAAATGAAAAGCACTGACCTCTCATTTCAGCAGCGGGGAAAGTGCCGAATCAGGATATCACTTTGTGCACCGGAGTCACTAACGGCTTCCCAAAGCTGCCCTGCGTGTTTCTACTATTACCTCCTCCTCCTCTTCCTGCCCCAGGACCTGCTCCCCAGTCCCAAGCCAGGGTGTCCAGCCCAACCCCATCAACCTGTCTCTTCGGAGCCTCTCTCCAAACCGCCGGTGGGGCCAGCAATTGGCAGCGACCACCTCACCTCTGCATGGCACAGCCATCTCTCTGTGCCATGGATCTACAACAATCCCTTTGTGCAGATGGGCAAAGATGGTAACAAGACAGATGAACCAGATTTTTGGCTCGTAACAGCCCCTTCCCAGCCCTAAGCTGAGGCATGGAATCCAGGAACAACCCCAATGGACAGGTGGACACAGTGCTGATGCACAGGACCAACACACAGGAGAGGAGAGGATGAGGCTCAGCCTCCAAATCCAAGAATTGCCAACCCAAGGTTGGAGCAGGCAAAGGGTCACGGCCAGCTCGGATCAGAAGGACAAAGGACAAGGATCTGACCTCGTAGCGGCAGAAAAGCAATGGACAATCCGCAGGGTTGTACTGCGACAGGCACAGCATCTACCGCTCCATGCAACAACTCCACGATGCCGGCTCGGCCGGCTCTCCGCTCCCACCAGGGAATTCACCTTGCTGTTCCAAACGTGCAGATACACACGCACACACATCTCCATAAATATTATTTATACATGTGGAATAAGGAGAGCAGATGAGCGGGACTTGGGTCTGAAACTCTGCAAGCAGCAGCAGTTTTTGCCAATTCCTACCACAACAAAAGGAAGAAGGAGCCCAGAAGTCCACTGAGTCCTCGGCAATTAGAGAGCTAGGAACAATCAAAGGGTTAGAAAACAAGAGGAGCAAAAACCCTCACCCTACAGAGGAGGCGCCGAGGGAGCCCAGGCTCTGCTAATGCAGAGGGAAGGGAATCACAAACAGGACGGACAGGAACAAGCTGGATTGGCAGGAGCCGGGGGAAGGCTCCTCATGCCAAGAGCAGGGCAGGGAGCTCATGACGTGCCACAACGGGAAGAGGGACTGGAGCGGGGATGGGCCCTTTCCAGCCCTAGACTGAAGGCTGGGACCCCATTTACATGATGTGGGGGGACCCCCTGAACATCCTCAATTGCATGTGGCTCTAAAAAATTCCCCTCAGCTCTAAAACCCCCTCCCTGAAACTTCCAATTCCCCATTTCTCTTCTCCACTCTTGCAGGCTCTACCTTGCAGCTGAAGGAGCGTTTTGGGTCCCTCTCCCAAGCCAGACCCCCAGGGATTCCCAACCTACCCTGTCGTAGTTATTTTGGTAGATGGGGAACCCTGGCTCCCACAGCCCATGTCCTAGAGAAAGGGGTGCCTTTCCCACTGCCTGCTTTGCCCAAGCTGGAGAAGTGCCGGGTTCTATCCAGATCCTCCCTGCTCTCCTGCTGGGCGGTGTAACGCCACCATAAATCATGGCATCTCAGAAAACAGAGCGAGGAGATTGATTCAGCTGTAAATGTGTCCTTCCCCTTACCTCCTGCCATCGCAGGATTGATCCCCGCGCAACATGAAAAGCATGTGCTCACTTGTTGGCCTGGAGACCTGCCAACGAAGCGTTTTAAGAGCAGTCCTGGAGCGCAGATCCTACAAGGAGACAGCTTTCTGCTTGGGAATGCTGCACACACACAGCACCAGACATGAATAATTCAGCTCCATTAGGTGCTGAGACCTCTACAATCCACATCTACGGGCTGGGACAGAGCCAAACCGTATTCAGAGACAAACCTGAAAGTTCACTTTCGGGGCTGCACACACACCTAGAGACAGCTCCTCCACCAGAACATTCGCATTCCAAAAGGCAGCGAGGAAACCGCAGGAGCCCCCGGCTCTTTGTGCTAAAACCAGTGCAGGATGCTCAGAACCTGCCAAGCCCGCGCCACTCCAGCTTTCTCCGCCGGTTACCGGAGGCCAAGAGACCAAAGCAGGGAAGCACTGACCGCCCAAGGGCAGCAAGATGCAGGAGAAAAGCTCTTCTCCTGGCAGCAGCCAGCCCACACGTAGGGAGACTGTCTCATAGCCATGTGCTTCAGCCTGCAGCGCTCCAGGATCAGCCTCTGGTGGCTTCCAGACATGACCGACTGCAATTTTCACCCTGATTAACTTTCAGGAATGCCCGCAAGAAGGAGCAGCAAAGAGGACAGGGAAGGGGGGGAGAAAATCTGTAGGACACGGCATTTCCTCCAGCGGGGTATGAGGCAGGGAGCAGAGGGTTCGGCGAGATGCTCTCTCCAGCCAGAAGCAACCCCGGAGAGCAGACAGAGCCCTCCGCTCCCTCCTGGGTGAGGCAAAGGCAGTGGCGTGGAAGGGCTGCTGCCCCCCCCAACAGCTTGCCAAGACCCCCAAA